AGAAAAAGCACAAATCTTTTTTTTTTTTTCATCTTAACTTTTTGATAAAAACGGATGAATTTTGATGTTTTTCTAGCCTTGCGATTTTTTATTCATCCATTTTGCTAGTTTTTTGCTTTAAAAACCATTTTTTTCCTTAAGTTTTCCGTCTTCTAATACCTGTTTCCACACTTCCACCGTCTCTCTTTTCTTTACCCTTTACATCAGCTTCTCTTTTTCCTTACCACAACTGCAACCTGATGAGTTTTATGCTCTGATAACGCAAACACAGTATCAAAAGAGTTGTTGATGTAATAAAAGTTGGCTTTTGAATACCATCCAGTTGCCCTTTGTAGGCTACTGGAATAGAGTTGATGAGTGAATGTATTGTTTCTTACCTCGTGGGTTCATTCCAACATCCAAGCATTTTTTCAGTCTACAAAATTTGCATAGAACTCTATAAGCTGAAAAAAAGAAAAAAAAATCAAGTTTTACTGCGATCAGTGAAAATAATCAACAACAACGTTGTGGTCTTTCTTTTTCTTTTGCTTTAATACTACATAAGCTTTCCTTTCTGGCAGATAGACTAAGCACTATTTCTATGGTTACCTTTATTAACCTCGCATTTGCCATCAAAACGACATTTGTATTGTCGTCGTTGCCATATACTGCAATAGAAAAATGTAAAATAAAAATATCTAAACATATGTAAAGATTTACGTTGTTTAGCAAACCCAAAAGAAAATCCAAAAATTGAAGCAAAAGTAAATAGATGAAAAGATAAGTTATAAGTTAGAAGCATTAATACAAGTTTTTAATTTTCACTTCTTTATTTTTCTTCCACTTTACATCAGTTCTTTTATTCTTAACCTTTTTTTTTTTGTTCTAGGTTTAGTTGTTTTATAACAATAAACTTCAGGAAAAAAAGTTAAGATTCTGTTCTTTCTTTTTGGTTTTCAACTTAAACTATGTGCTTTGTTCAACGTTGATTAGATGGTACCTAGTTGCACCAGTACTACTAATGCCTAAAATTCACTAATTGACTTAAACTTATCAGCTAAATAATACTAAATTTGCATAATTTTTTTTTTCTTCTGCAATCCTTATCAGTAGCTTAGTTGTCGTTTTTAAAAATTGCTAATTTACAGATTTTGTCGCGTATATATTGGCTTTTCAAATGCAGTGTAGCAAAAAAAAAAAAAAAAATCAGATTTTTTTCTCACTTTTTTTTTTACTTTCTTTTTTTTTCAACCTTAATTAAGCTTCCACTCAAATTAGCTGCTTTTTTTTAATCACAAAATTTTTGCAATTGAAAATCCTCATTTTATATTCAAGAAGAAAAAGCAACACTAAAATGGCGTGAACAAATATACATGCAAAAAATATCTATTTTTTCATTTTTTAATCTATTTTTTTCTTTTTTTTCAACTTCACTTATTTCTTTGTTTTAGAAAAATATTTATTTCTGCTTATGTTGATTAGGCTTAAAAACATTTGCACTTGAACCTATCCAGAAGAAGCTAATAAATTCAGTTGGACTTTGCTGAAGTCAGTCTTGACGATGCATTTAATCATTGAACTATTTGAATAAAGCATCTAAATTTAAATTACTTTGCACCTCCTCGCTAATAACATTAATAATGGTGTAAAATACTGTTGCAATTTCATTGCTAAACTTAGTTCTCAATCAATTTTTCATCGTTTTTTTTTTTTAAATGATAGCTTTTGATCTTTAGAATTTTCTATTTTTAAATCGGAAATTACTGATTTATGAGGCATAAAACAAAGCTTTGAACATAGCACTACAGACAATGACTTAAAAATGCATTTACTTAGCCACTAAGAATCAAACTTGCACAACCATTTTAAATTATCCGCAAATTTAGTAACGAATTCATCTAAGTTTATAGAATTTTTAGCAAAAGCACTTTTTCAGGTATTATCACTAAACGTTGTTATCGCCACCAGTTACAGAAAAAGTTTTTTTTTTTTGCAATAACTCATCGAAGAAGAAATGAGAAAAAATTAGAGCTACAGTTAACTGAACTAATTTTATAGGTTAAATAATTTTTTGTAATTTATTTTTGCTTGCCTCTTTTATAGAGTAGCTGAAAAAATTTTTCGTAAAGAAAATAATTATTATTTTAAACTCAGTATTTGGTAAAACATTGATTAAACATTGATTAATCTGTTATAAACCATAACTTTAACGATAACTGCATGATCACTCAAAAAGTAAAGAGCTAAGTAAAGGAGAAAAAAGCTTCTATTATTGTCATCAACGACAGATACTTTAAATTTAAAATTCTTCCAAATGCTTATCATTCTTTTTTTTTTTTTTTTTTTTTTGTTTAGCTTCGCAATTGTTCTTTGGTTAATTAGAAACCAAATTACAAAACATCTTTCTTTCAAAGAGAAGGATAAAGAAACATTTTGTAAAGTATACGAGTAGGAGAAAATAAAAAAAAAGCATCTAAGTTTTTTTTGCTTTTTTGATTAAGCACTTTTTTCTATGAGTAAAAAAAATTTTTTTTATTATTAAAGGATTTTTTCTTTTTTTCCTCAGGTTGAACAGTTAACATTAAATAAAGATGAGAAAAGAAAATGGAATTCTTTTTTGTTAAAGGACATTAATGAGGAAGAGACAAATAGGTAGGAAAACTGAGAAAATTGCTTATTCCAAATAATTGCTCAAATTAATGTCTACTAAAAAACCCATTGCTGTTTTGCAGAGCCATTTATACTCAAATTTTTTGCACATTATTTAAGCATTTGTATTTGTTTGCCTAATTTTGCTTTACTCTGTAAGATTTTATTTTTGACCGTTTATCCAACTAAACATCCACTCTCTGCTAAAAAAAAAAAGGTGTGCAACGAGATTTTCAAAAAAACCAATATAAATTTTTTTGAGCATTATTTTAGTGTCTTTGGGCAATTACTGTCGCCCATTTTTTGAGAAGGTGAATATAGGAAAGACATAAAAAAGAGCTTGGCGATTTCATAAACGAAGAAGATGAGGGCGCGAATCTGAGCAGTTGATGGCAGCAGACTCAATAAAGACAGATGTGATACAACACGGAAGAATGGGGAAGGATGGGGGGAAGAAAAGGAGGAACAGTGAAGGCCAAGGCGGAAGGAAAAAAAAACAGAGAAGAAATGGCGAAATTTTTGGAAGTACCAATTCAATGGATGCATTTGGCAAAGATATCTGATTTTAGTTATCCATTTTTCACTGAAATACTTTGGCAGTTGGTAATCATTTTTTGTTCCAATCCCAATTTTTTTTTTTTTTTTTTTTTTTTTTTTTTTT